GCAGAAATTACTGGCATTTTTCAGTCACCTTTGGCTTTTCTGTGGTTTCCTCATTTGATGGCCAACTATGTATTACCATTTGCAATCTGAAAAAGCCCATGTGACAGTTAATGGAGCCCCTGAACCCCTCCTGCCACCATCTGGCTACTTGATTCCCAGGGCCTCTTAAGAAGATCAGGTGTCCTGTGTTGCCTTAGGCAGCTGGGGGTTGTATCAAGACCCCAGAGGTGAGCCCTGGTTCTTAGTAAACATTCAAGGATTGAAGAGATTAGTGCCTTGTGGTCCTGGGATTGGGTGCTACCCTGAGAAGAGTCCTAGATCGGAGAAAAGTTTAAAAATAAAAAAAATTTTAAAAAACCAATACCAAAACCAATCACATTGGCTTAAGAACTAAGGGGAGTTTATTGGTATATGTAACTGCAAACCCAGGGCCCTAGAGCTTCAGGAATGGCTGGATCTAGGTGCTCAGATGCTGCCTTCCAGAATTTTCAAGGCTCTGTTTTCTTTTACTGGCTCTGCTCTGAGGCAGGCTCTCTCCCTGTGGTAACAAGATGACCCATCAGCCGCTCTAGGCTCATGCTCTGGTAGCTCAGCAACCCCACCAGACACAAGGCTTCTCTCCCCGCAAAAGCTCCAGGAAAAGTCACACGGTGGCCCTGGATGGCCAGACTTGGGTTTCTTGCCCGCCCCTGAAGCATGCACTGGATGCTGATTGTCTGGTCCTGGTCCACAAGCTCACCTGGCCTTCAGCTGGATGGGGTCAGCTCCACCAGGAACCGTGAGGGGTTGTTCTCACAGGACAGCGGAGGGGCTATTCCCAGAGGGCAGAGCTCCTCTCCACCAGCGTGTTGAAGCACAAAAACTCCCTTTATCAAGAAAACTGGATTAATCAGAATACCCTGTCCTCAGCTCTGCTGAAGAGCAGAAGAGGAAGGCCCCACATGGGGGTGGGGAGGTGGAGGGGGAGTGTAAGGTGGGGAGGCTGGAAGAGATTCCTGCCTGGGATGGGAAGACATAGCTCAGAGTCAGTGTCCGGGCCTCAGTATCCCCATCTGTAGAGGAAGGTTGATGTGGCTGAAGCCATAGGTTTTAGGATGGTGCTGTATATTTTTTGATGAGATGATTGGGGACAGCTGCCCCTCCCTTTCCACTGACTTTGGGATGATCTCTTAATGGAATCCAGTTTATTGCTGTGATCCATGCTGGCAGCGTTGTGATATCGTTTTTCCAGGAGGGGCCTGTTAGCTTGGCTGTAAGTGGAGTTTGGAGGCTATTTCTGGCCAAGACCGAGGTGGGTGAAAATGTGGGGGTGGGAGGTGTCAGGCAGCTTGGGGAGGAAACCTGAGCGGGGCCTCATGCCCCAGGGTCTGGGGAGAAGGGCTGGTGCTGCGGGTGGCCAGGACAGCCCTGCCCCCAGGTCTGCAGGATGAGACCTCAGCAGCTGGGAGAGGAGCTGGTGGGACATGAATGTCCCTCCTCCTGGCACCTGTCCCCAGGCTTGTGACCATTGACCCCATTCCACAAACAGTCTTGGGGAGAAAGGCGAGGAGGGAAGCCTCCTCCACAGTGCCCACGAGGTACCTGCACCTAAAACAGAGATACTAGTAACAAACCACTGAGAGCCCGCAGTGGGCAGGCGCCATTCTAAGTGTTTACAAGGATCAGCTCAGTCCAGCCTCACAACTGTATGAATCAGGCGTGATTTGTCTCATCCTACCAATGGAGAATCGGGGAGACACTCAAAGAGGTGAAGTGACTTGCCCAAGGACACACAGCCTGTGGGCAGGGGAGCCACAGTCAGCATCTGGATGCCTGTAGGATGGGCAGGCTGAGCTCAAAGGCAAGGAATGGCAGGGACACAAATGCTGGGTGGGCCAGAGGTGGAAAGAAAATCAATCACCTTGAGGAGAGAGGGTGGGAATCTGTAAGGGCAAGCCTGAATCTGGGCCTTTGAAGGATCTGTGCAATTTGGACAGGATGAAACATGCAGGGAAGGGTTTTCAAGCAGGAACAGCATAAGTAAAGTCACAGAGACAAGCAAGTGCAGGGGCTATTTGGGACAGGGCAAGCAGCCTGGCAGGGGCCTCTGCCAGTGCTCTGTGGGTCATGAGGTCACTTGAGCAGTGGGCTGAGGATGGGACTACTGTGCCCTGAAAGTGCCTTGAGGCCTGGAATCCTGAGCATTTGCTGGAATGGCCGAGGGGTGGCTGACCCCCTACCCGTCACGTGATTTCATGGGTCGGGAGGCAAAGCCTGGCAGCCTCGGGCGTCCGAAGGACATGGAGGGGAGGAGCCCTGGTTCTCTTGGACCTACATGGGGCAGTCCACGCAGTCTGGGCGGCTGTGGATGGACAGGAAGCCAGCCATTCCTTCCCGTGAGCTGGAGAATGGCCTCTGTGTGAGCCACAACAAAAAGGCTTTTCTGCCAAGTCCGAGGGGGAGGAAGTGGCCAGTGCGGCCCCTGCCCCAGCCTGAAAGGAGGCTCTGTTGGTGGCCCTGGGGTCTTCGATGCCTAGAATGTGTGGGGAGGGAAGGCCAGGGTGGGCAGGGGCCTCATCTCTGTCCCATTCCTGCAGCGGCACCAGGGTGGAGTGGGGTGTTGGGCTGCTGTGAAGTTGGTCCCTCTAGGTTCTAATCCCTGCACGGCCATTTCCTAGCTGTGTGACCTTGGCCAAGTCACTTCACCTCTCTGAGCCCCACTTTTCTCATGAGTAAAAGGTAGTGGGGGAGCTTGCAGGCCGTTTCCTAGCTCAGCCTGAGAGGTCTTTGGGGCTTCCCAGGGCCAGCATTTCCTCCTCTCCTCAGCCAGCTTTCAATACAAAGAGAGGAAAGGGTGGGATCAGGGGGGCTGGGGAGGGGGTACGCAGCTGTGAGGGAGGGTGGGGCCCGGAACATGTTGAAGGACCCTGAGTTGTGGAGGCTGGGCCTGCTCCATAGTTGGGATGGGACCCCACTCCAGCTGATCACTGCATTCCCAGGGGTGCAGGCTGGTGCTCATAGGACAGCCCAGAGGACAGACAGGGTCCAAGGCTGGCCCAGACCTGAGGGACAGCAATGCTTGTCTCCTGCTTTCCTGGGTGTCATCTGCACCCTGCCTGGGCAAGCCCTTCTGCTACTTCAAAGGTGAGAGGGCAGATCTTGGGTGCCCCTCACCCTCTGAGCAGAGCATGTGACAAGGGGAAGTTTGGAGCCACAGTGGAGTCATTTCCCTTTCTTTCCTGGCCAAGCTGGGCCTGCAGGCTGCTCAGAACCCAGTCTGGAAGGGTGGAGGGCCAGATAGCCTGGCCTGGGTCTCTCACCCATCTTGGATGTGCAGGCTGTGTGGGAAGCTGGGCTGCCCTTTCTCACCATGAATGAATGACAAGCGTCTTCCCTACTCCTCCCCTGTCCCACTCCAGTGGGGCCACCCCCAGTCCTCTGTCCTGCCCTCGTCCAGTCTAGAGGGCAGCTGCCTCTTACTCTTCCCCCAGCTCCTCCCCTTCCAGGCCCACTGGGAAGAAAACCCCACAGAACTGGGAACGAGGTCTCTTAGGTGCTGGGACTCTGCCCAGTCACCTGCAGCTCCTCCAGCTGTAAGCTCCAGCCCAAGGCCTCTTACAAATGAGGCCACACTCGCCGGCCGCACAATTTAATCAGTGCAGATTATTTACAGAACGAAACATATGGGGGTGGACACAGACCCCCCTCCACCCCTTGGCTGGCTCCCCAGTCCCAAGAACAGAGGGGGCGGAAGCTGCTGGACCTGCACGGGGTGGGGGGAGT